ATGGTGTTCCGATGATATGATACAAGATGATCGAGTATGACAATCTTAATGTAGTATGATGTTATGGTTCTTGCTTAAAAGCTCTTTGCTTATCTTTCTCTTTTGCTTAAAAGCTTGTTGACTCTTTCTCTTTTGAGCTCTTTCTTTGGCCACTTGTGCAAAACTTCACGAACCAAGATATCAATTGTGTATATGAGATGACAACCTTGTGACACAAGAGATGATACCAAGATACATATACCAAGATGATGTGATATGTGCAATGAGACGATGATCACTAATGTGCACAAATAACATTGCCGACAATACTCAAAGGGTAGTCTCGATGGGTAAGTTACGCAAAAGGAAGGCTAAGAGGTTACAATGCAATGGCAAGAGAGAGTGTTCGAGAGTATCATCGAGGTTACCGCCATTGCGTATGGTTGATGGTGTCAAAATGGTGAAGTGGGTGTTGTCGATGACGAGTCCATGGCGAAGATGAGCGGCGGTGATGTCATTGTCAAACCGTCCCTAAGTAGCCGAAACACGTTAGGAAATGAAAACCGCAACTCAAATTCTCAATGACCCAAATGTGTCAAAATTGTTGGAGTTGGTAGTGGGTAAGCGATGGTGGTTGCGGAAAGCAGTGGTGGTTTGTGGAGGTGCAATGTGGGGATTGGAATGGCAATGCTGAAGAAGTAGTGGTGGCTGAAAAAAATACGAATGAAAAAAAATCCAGCTTCGTCGGGTTCGGTCGGAAGTCCGGTATTGGTCGGACGACCGGAGGTGGCCGAACGTCCGAAGCCTGGGCGATTCCGGGCTACGGGATGAAGTCTAGGGTTCATGGTGGAGGGGAAATTTGAGGTCAAAATTGGGCGAATTTGGCGGATGGAAACGAGGGAAGAGATGGGGTAAAGCTAGATCCACTCATGGCAAAGCAAAACCATGGATCAAATCCAACAAAACTTAATCACACCAACAAAACACAAAAAAATCGGGCTATTTTTGTGGGGATTTTCAAAATTGAGACAAAACCAACAAAATTAGGCTAGAAAACAAGGGGTAGGGACTCCAAAAACATGATCAACGTGGCTTATGATACCAAGATGATGTAGGGTGGAACCCTAGGGGCCGATCTTTCATGATTTGGAGGGGGGATTCCCGAAGAACACGATGAACACACGAGGGAGAACACAAGGGGAAACGAGAGGGAACACTCAAATCAATGAGAAATGATCACACATGTGCTAGATCCATGAACACAAAGAGAGATACATGATTCCAATCCGTCAAAGGGAGATATAAAGGTCACTAGTTCATCTCCTAGAAGGAGGTCTTGAATCCACTAGGGGATGTTCTCCACGAAGAGGTCTTGAATCCACTTGGGGGATCTTCTCCTAGATGGAGGGCTTGGCCTCTAATGGAGTAGGTATCAAGTGGATGAGCAAAGCTCTATCTCTCATACGAGCTAAATTAATGCTGACCCTAGAAAAGTGGAGGTGGAGTCGTATATATAGTCTAGGGGGTCGAAGGGGTACATGGGCCTCGACCCTAGTCACTGTGCGTAGACAAGCTTTGGACGTCCTGTGGGTCTCGGACGCCCGGAAGCTCGCGAAGGTCTGGACGTCCGGAAGGCGTCGGTCATCCGGTGGCCGGTCGTCCAGAGGGCTCGCACTTCCGCTAATTTCCTTCTATTGGTGGCACCGATAGTCCGGGCGCTGGGAGGTGTCGGACGTCTGGTCCTTGCCGGTCGTCCGACACTGTTGTAGTCGCCGGCTGGCTCTTCGGGCTGGTGGAGACTCCAAGCCTCGGACATCCGGTCCAGGCCGGTCGTCCGGTGGCTGTAGGTTTTTGGTAGCTTTACCTCTTGATCCTTGTACTTGGCGTCCTGGCTAGCTCGTCCGTTGGATGTAGTGGCTCCGTGGCTCCCCTCTAAGCACCTGATCACACATAGGGTTTCCGCTTGAGGTAGTAGCCATGTCTCACATGTAGAAAGTGATAGTTCAGAGAGGAGCGAGTTCACCTTAGTTTCGATAGCCCTTGCTCGAGCTCTAGTCATTGGTCCATGTGGTGTCGTGGGAGACGAAGGTAGGTCCATGGGGATGACTGTAGGAAGCTCCGCATCACTTGTACCCCCTCTACTTGGCCCATCTTGATCTCTGACCAGTATCGCTGAATTTGGCCTGATCCATGGCCCAACTTAATATGTCCACTGACATAGTGCCTTTCATCAGCCAGGAATCAACGTCTTCAACTCCTTTACCATCACCTTCTTTACCACAACGCCTACCTCCTTGCGCATGTCCTCGATGATGGTGAAGTTAGAGCACACATCCATGGTTTTCTCGAACTTGGTGCAGTCACCAAGCGAGCAGCCGAGGAAGAAAGC